AAATACATGAATGTCAAGGAAGCCGAAGCCGACTTTCTGCAAGCAGCTAAGCCAAAAACTGAGCCTCGGGACGAGAAGAAGGATAAAAAGCTTGTCGCGACAACTGAAAGGAAAGGATCCCCGAAGACCAAAAGAGAAGGACGATCAAGGGGGTGGAGGACAGCCCAATATACTCTTCTGTCGGCCTCACATGCAAGGATACTGGAGGTTATGGAGAGAGAGATCCGTGATAACGTTGTCAGGTGGACACGGACGAGAAAAGATGGGCCGACAAAGCCTAAAAGTAACCTGTATTGTCGATTTCACAAAGACTACGGCCATAACACCGATGAATGTCGGCACCTAAAGAATGAAATCGAGAGACTAATCAAAGCAGGCCATCTGAAGGAATTCGTTTATAAAGATCGAGAACGAACCAGTCGGCGAGGGGAGAAAAGCAAAAGCCCTCACAAGAGGGCAAGAACACCCGATAAGGAGGAGCTTCCCTAGAAAAGAGGAGTAATTCATATGATATTCGGAGGGCCAACCGATGGTGATTCAAATCGGGCTAGAAAAGCATACGCTCGAGGGCCAACCGGTTGTGCACCAGACCTGTCGGGTGGAAGAGGAGCAGTGGGCGGTTTCTTCACCTCGAAACGCTTGAGTGTATTAACTGAGAGAAAAAATAATAATAAAAGCAGAGGTTAGAAGAAAAGAAGAGACGACTCGGTATTGTAAGAAATGTTGAACAGCTTACGAGGATCATCGAGCTGAGAAAGATCGTCATACAAGACGATTCGGGCATGATTGACCAACTTACGGTCTCTTATTATGCGTCGAGCGCTATAAGTACATTTATTCAACTCTTCTAAGACTCTTTCGAAGTCCTCGAATCGAGACCGTTTATTCTGTTTAACTTTGGTACTTATCCAATTATTTGTATAAGGATAAGCACCGACGGGAGGTCGAATGAAGACAAATTTCGATTGGGGATATTTGAAGAAAGATCATCAAGAAAGGTAACGCCAGGACGACGGATTAAACAATGGGCCCCCTTTTGAAGTCGATAGCTATAACAATAATGAAAACATTCGGCCGAGAAAAAATGAAGAACTATACGAGAAACAACGATAAAAGCTATCATGATACAAAGAGCATTTGGAGAAAACTGATTTATTGGGATTTTATACAAGTCGCTTATCTCCAAAAGCTCGGCCTGTATAGGGAAGCGTAGACCGAAAACGACTTGGTCGACAAAGAAAGTATGACAACCCTCGGGAGGACAGGCGAAGTTACTATCGGGACCCGGAGTAACCAACTCCCAATCGGAGGGAAGCCCGCTGAACTGCCGGAAGCTCTCGACTTGACCCGCAGAGGCATAGGAAAAAGGGTTCAAGGTGGCCAATTTTGCCAAGGTACATGCTACTGAAACAGACTTCCGAGGGTCGAGAAAAGTAACTAAAGATAAAGGTACAGGACTGGTACTATACACGGGAATGTCTAACAAACTAATATGAATACCTCGAGGAATTAAGTCGAGGCGAGGAGAGCCTTCCCCAGGACTCCTCACTATTTCTACAAGATCACCATCCAACAGGGCCTGATCATATTCGGCCCAGTCGACCCTTGGGGTCGAAGTACGCGATGAA